ACGCAAGAACGGTTTGGGAGAAATCCGTGTTGAGCTGGAGATATCAGATTGCTGGAAGTAAGGTGATCTAGGATGGCTCGCTTCAGAATGCGTTCCATCACCTTGCACGGCACGCTAGTGAGGCTTATAGGCCTATAGCTGCCAGGCGATAGTCGGTCACCAGTTTTGTATATTGGCGTGACAATCGCTTCCTTCCAAGCAGGGGGAAGTCGGCCTTCGTCAAGCGACTGACGAAACACCAAGTGTAAATGGTTTGCCATTGTGGAGGACGTTTCTTTCAGGATCCTCGGATGGACCTCGTCGGGTCCCAATGCGCAGAACTCTTCGATCTTGTGCAAGAGTTGACGAATGTCCTCCACCGTGAAGACCAAGTCGGTTAGAGGCTGTTCGTAGTTTCTCCTTGACAAGAGTGGATGTGGCGAGGACGCTGGGGCTGAGTATAGACACGCGTAGTGTTCTCTGTAAGCCTGAGGTATCTAAAGTAAACAAACGCCCGCGACTGTTCCTATAGGGTGGCATTTGCATTAAACACTCTTAAGATGTTATTATATTTTTCAGGAACATCGAAGAACGCCAAAATATACTAAAGTGCGATTTCGTGTTTTATGTCGCGTAAACCGGCAAAAAATGCAAATCTGCTATGGTCAATGACCTTGACATTTCGCTCACTTAAACAAAATGCTACGTGCAACATGTCACGGGAAGGTGCAAATTGATTAGACTAACTCCCCATTAAAATAGCAACTTCGAAAACCCTATAGTTTCGGTGAACTCAATTTGGGTGTGTCAATAGACTGCGGCTTTTATATCAGTTCGTCAATCAGTGGATTTGAAATTCCTTTCCTACAACACCCTACGGACCCCTGCGGACCCGCTAAGCTCAGCGCTGAACTGACCTCTGCTTCGGTTTGAAAGCGGAATGTACGAGCGGGTACGGTGCATCTCTTCAGACAGCTGTTCGTCTGGCCTATCGTGTGCCGTATGACCAGTGCGGTCCTTGATCATCCGAATGAACCATACCGAAAACCTTGATACGGTATATAGGTATGCTCTGGTAGGTTAGTCTGCCGTAATTCATCTTTCGCACAGTACATTGGTTCATTCCCCGTTGAAGGAACGGAGCACCATGGCCGCACCGTGAAGGTACACAAGGAATTAGAAACACTTCGGGTACGGGTGCTTTTATTTTTCCTTAATACAATATCAAATCGCTTCAATAACTGGAACAAATAACTTTTTAGACCTTCACGCGAAGCAAAAACGTGTTGCTATGTGTTTCTGTCAGTGGCATTAAAGTATGCTCCGTGGACCGCAAGGTAAGTGATTCATACTCCTTTTACACTTATAGTTAGATTGTTTATATGGCGCACGCTCTCCGCCGAATATCTTATGCAACCTGCGATGCGGTTTACAAACAAGTAGTATTTCTAGCCCGAGAGCCGATGGGCGAGGCTACACTTCAGTATTGCCATGTGTTCATCACGGGAACCTGCTCTTTGGTGAGTTTTGTAGATAAGAAACGGCGGTTCGGTTCGTTTGAGCGCCATCCGTTTGATAAAACGGAGAAGTTCCGCCCCCTCAGAGTTGTCAGTATCTGATGGAGTCCGTGTATGTCATTTTTCAGCACCGTTGATTCCCGAGGTCGAGTCATAGTATTTTCCAGAATTAAACAAGTATGGTTCCGTGTTATATTTAGAGCGGCCCGGTGACTTAGGTTGGGCCGTGTATTCCAAATTCCCGCACAGCTTGCACCGCGGAAGCAACCGGAGGTT